ATACCTCCATGCAAACCCATCAAATCCCCCTATCCACACTCCCTACTTACCACAGTATGTTCAGACCCCATAAAACCCGCCTATCACTACCAATGCAACTCACACCTCTCCTTGTGACATAGTGACTTTTATCACTAACCAGCACATACCTGTGGCACATGCTGCTGCACATTAGCGGTATGTTCCCTCTGTATATGCCATTTTTGAACTTACCTTTACAGCTCCTGTCACGGTCAGGGTGCCTTATGAGATTGACCAATATGCCGAGATGGAAAGGGAAGCCAGGCGTAAGGAAGATGATTGAGTATCCGAGCAGCTGCAAATCTTGAGAAAGCAAATGAAGAACCTCCAAGTTTCCCGAGGAAGTGAATGTTTGGTTTACGAGGATTTATATATTCATCCGCATGTGGATATGCCAGCAGGTCATAAACCTCCAAAGTTTGATATCTTCGATGGGACAGGTGATCCATTTTGCACATTTGAGGGCATATTGTGACAAGTTGGTCGGAGTGGGGAGGAATGAGAAGCTAAGGATGAAGTTATTTATAAGGAGCCTGACAGGAGAAGCACTCACCTAGTATACTCGACAGGATCCGCGAAATTGGAAAACTTGACAAGACATGGTAGAGGACTTCATGAATCACTTTCGATTCAAAATAGAGATCACTCCAGATCGGTTCATACTGGTGAACCTGCAGAAAATACCATCAAAGTCAATCCAAGGATATGCACGTCAGTGGAGTTTAGAGACTGCCAGGGCACAAGCTCCTCTAAACGACGGTGAATTAACCAAGTATTTCATCAGAGCCCAAGAAGGGATATCCTTCGAAAAGATGATGGGAATAATAGGACAGCAATTCCCCGAGCTAGTCAAGATGGGATATTTCTTAGAAGAGGGCATAAAATCCGGTAAACTACAACGCATGGAAGCATTGCAAGCGGCTAACAAGGGCATCCAATCAGGATCAATCGGCAGCGGAAAGAAGAAGAAAGAGGATGTCTCAACAGTCGTCCCTTACTATCAACCAAACCCACATCATGGAAACACTTCCTATTCCCCAAACAACTATTAACCACCACCCACTTACGCTCCAATCTATAACACCCAGCCATATTATCATCCTAAACCACAATACAACCCTCCTCAAGCCAACAACAACCTGAACCCACAACGACCATATGCTCTTGTCTAAATATTACTCACCAAAACCGACCCACTTATGCACCACGCCCTCGCCCCAACTTTGAAGAAAGGGGTCCTAGAAATTATACCCCGATTGCTGAGCCTCTGGCCCAATTATTTGAGAGATTGAGAAGAGCGGGATTGATACATCCAGTTAAAGGAAGGGTTCCTAGGTATCCCTCCAAGTATTTTGATGCAACTAAAAGATGTGTGTACCATTCCAATGTACCTGGTCATGATACTGAAGATTGCTTCAAGCTAAAAAAGAGATTGGAACATTGATCAAGAGCGGAGCCATTCAATGCACTCTGGCGCTGCCTAGTGTGAATCGCAATCCGCTGCGAAATCACCGAAACCATGGAGTTAACATGATCACATTGGACGAAGAGTATAACCTAAAGAGAATGATTGTCACTATAGGAAATGTAGAAGCGCTAGGATCCCTCCTCAAAGCGCTCCAATGATTACAGTACAAGTGAGACCTACGGTGACTGTTCAAACCTATCAGCGACAACTTATAGTTGCTATAGGAGATAAAGAAAGTCGGGAATACAAAACCATCCCATGGACATACTAGCAAAAGGGGAAGGCCAAAATGATAGACTCCGCCACAGCCCATGGTATGACTAGGTCTGGGAGATGCTACGCTCCTGAAGATGACAATCGAGGGAACTCGGAAAGAGAGAAAATTCAAAGAAGGAACATAACAGACCTAGAAGCTGCCGAGTTTTCGAAGGGAATGTCGACCAAAGAGTATTCTGTGGAGGAGCAGCTGAAGAAGACCCAAGCACAGATATCAATCATGGATTTGTTGATGAGTTCCGACAGTCATACAGACACCCTATTAAAAGTACTAAGTGGGGTAAGTGTACCAAGTAACACCACCAGTGAGGCACTGGCCGCAATAATTAGGAAAATAGTTGAAGCAAATATGATCACTTTCAGAAGAGACAAACTTCTGGCCGAAGGCGCAAGTCGCAACAAAGCTCTTCATATCACTGTCAAAGGTGGGGACAAAGTGGTTTCCCAAGTGTTGGTTCATGGAGGGTCAGGAGTCAACGTATGTTCTCTCTCAACCCTATAGGAGTTAGGAATTCATTTGAGGGAAGTCAAGGAAAGCCACGTGAGGGTGAGGACCTTTGACGGTTCGTAAACGGATGTTATCGGAGAAATTTATTTGGCCTTGTAGATCGGGCCGGTCGAATTTCCCATATTATTTCAAGTAATGGACATCTCTTCTTCCTACAACTTGCTGTTGGGAAGACCCTGGATACATATGGCAGGGGCTGTCCCATCAACTTTACACCAATGCATGAAATTTAAGTGGGTATGCCAGGAGATCGTGGTTCACGGCGAGTGGGGTCACTTCGCTTATTTTGAGTATGTTGTTCCGTTCATTGAAGGGCTAGACGGAGTTGCTTTCCGTGCAGTGGGAATCATACAGACTACCAAAATGGAAAAGACTGAACAAAACATGGGAATGCAGTCGATGTATAGATCCAAGATGGCTATGAGGGAGATGATTAAATATGGATACATGCCAGGAATAGGATTGGGAGCCAGGTCAGACGAAATCACAGAGCCAATTGAACCGAACGGGCAAAAAGGAAGGGTCAGCATAGGATATCAGCCTCCAAAGGGGAAAGCTCATACCGTTAGTTCCGAGAAAAAGATTTTGTGCCAAAGCATGTTTGAAGTCCAGGTCAGAGTTCAATACCAGAAGATGATATCATCGACGGGATAGAAAAGCTATTTGTGAATATGATTTAAGATAGCTGTGAAGGGACTGACATCAAGACACCGACTATCAGGGATGGCGAACTAGGAGAAGAGCTGCGGAATTGGACCACCAGTCCATCTTTGGTTCGTCGGGAGTCTTGGTAGTATGGAACTGTAAAAGTTTTCTTTTAAAAAACGCACGGTCAATTGAGGCCTGCACCATGCCTGTACCTTTTTGTCATTTCCCTCTTTTGAACGCTTAAGACCTTCCTCTTTTGATAAAATAAAAAGAATCATTTTCTCAAATATTGCAACTTCATTTACGCTGCTTAAGACCTTCCTCTTTTGAACGCTTAACTTTTCTTTTCATTAATCAAAATGCTAAAACCCTGCATTCCGTGATTGTGACATATAATGAAACCGTCCAGCGCAACGACCTAGATTATGGGGAGTATGATGCCAGACAATTTCTAGGAGGAGATCGAACAACTGGAGAGCCAGAAAAAGCCCAACCTTGAAGAAACAGAAGTGGTCAATCTTGGAATCAAAGAAGACGTAAAGGAAACCAGAATCAACATTCGTCTAGAAGCTGAGCAGAAGGAAAACTTGGCCCACCAATCCTACTAGGCCACTAGTCAAGCAGAAACCCAAGAAATTCAAACCCGATTTAAGTCTGAGGATAAAGGAAGAAGTGACCAAGAAGATAGAGGCAAATGTGGTAAAGGTCACCAATTATCCCAGCTGGTTGGCAAATATCGTCCTAGTACCCAAGAAATATGGAAAGATCAGAATATACGTGGATTAACGAGATCTCAATAAATCTAGTCCAAAGGACGATTTTCCTCCACCAAATATCCACATCCTCATTGACAATTGTGCGAAGCATGAACAACAGTTGTTTGTGGATTGTTTCGCTGGGTACCACCAAATCTTGCTGCACGAGAAAGATGCAGAGAAGACAGCCTTCACCATACCTTGGGGAGTTTACTGTTATGGAGTCATGTTGTTCGGTCTCTAGAATGCCGGTGCCACCTACATGAGGGCCATGTGGATGATGTCATTATAAAGTCTCAAAAGAGATCAGAACACTTAGACAATTTGAGGAAATTCATCGAGCGCCTGCGAAGGTACAATTTTTGAAATTGTACCCGACAAAGTGTGCGTTCGGAGTCCCCGCTAGAAATCTATTAGGATTCATTGCAAGTAGGAAGGGTATAAAATTGGACCCATAAAATATCAAGGCCATTCGGGAATTACCACCACCAAAGAGCAAGAAAAATATAATGTGTTTCCTGGGTAGATTGAATTGCATCAGTCGCTTCATAACCTAGTCCACGGTAATCTATGAGCCTATTTTCAAGCTGCTAAAAAAGGATGCTACCACAAAATGGACAGAAGAGTGCCAAAAAGCCTTCGACAGAATCAAAGAATATCTGTCAAATCAAACAATGCTGGTTCCCCCCGAACCTGGGAAGCCATTGTTACCATATTTGTCAGTCTTGGATAACGCCTTCGGCTGTGTGTTGGGACAGCATGACGAAACTGGGAGAAAGAAGCATGCCATCTACTACTTAAGTAAGAAGTTCATGCCATGCGAGGCCAAATATACTTTGATAGAACACACCTGTTGTGCTCTGACTTGGATCGCTCATAAACTAAGGCATTATATGTATGCATACACTACATATCTGATATCTCGGCTCGACTCGCTCAAGTACATCTTCCATAAGACGATGCCTACCAGAAATCTAGCTAAATGGAAAATTCTCCTTAGCGAATTTGACATTGGGTACATAACTCAGAAGGCTATTAGAGGACAAGTTTAACCGACCACCTCCCAGAGAATTCAGTGGATGGGGATTACTATCCACTTACTACGTATTTTCCCGATTAAGAAGTGTTATTTGTTGGAGAAGATATTGCAGAATCGTATCCTAGATGGAGAATATGTTTCGTTGGAGTAGCAAACTTCAAAGGAGTCAAAATTGGGGTAGTCCTGATTTCGGAATCTGGACAACACTATCCAGCATCGGCAAAGATAAGATTCCCTTGTACCAATAATATGCTTGAATATGAAGCGTGCATCCTTGGGATCAGAATGGCAGTCGACATAAATGACAAGGAACTTTTGGTCATAGGGGATTTCGATCTATTGATACACCAAGTGGGAGGGGAATGGTCCACCAAGAATGTCAAGATACTTTCGTACCTGCACTGCGTGAAGGAGCTATGCAAGAAGTTCACAAAGATTGAGTTCAAAAATGTCCCTAGGATTCAGAACGAGTTCGACGATGCCCTTGCAACTCTGTCATCTATGATTCAACATCGAGACAAGAACTACATCGAACCTATCGAGGTAGAGATCAGGGATCAATATGCCTATTGCTTCCATGTAGATGAAGAACTAGATGGTAAACCATGGTATCACGACCTCAAGAAATTCCTTGATACTAGACAGTACCCGGAGAATGCTACTAATGGTCAAAAGCGAGCCCTCAGGATGCTGGCAGACCACGTTTTCCTCAACAGGGAAGTCCTGTACATGAGGATCCCGGATTTAGGTTTGTTGAGATGTGTAGACGCTGCCGAGGTAACCGGGCTATTGGAAGAAATACATGCAGGAACATGCGGATCCCACATGAATGGGTTCACATTAGCCAAGAAAATCTTGAGAGCTGGATATTTTTAGATGACTATGGAAAGCGACATTATCCACTACGTATAGAAGTGTCACCAGTGCCATATTCATGGGGATTTCATCGGGGTTCCGCCAAATGAGTTAAACATAATGGGTTCACCCTAGCTGTTTGCCGCTTGGGGCATGGACGTGATTAGACCTATAGAGCATGCCTCCTCAAATGGACATCACTTCATCTTGGTAGCTATCGACTATTTCACTAAATGGGTCGAAGCGTCTACTTAAAAGGCCGTCACAAAGAAGGTAGTGGCAGATTTCATCCGAAACAACATCATCTGCAGATTTGGAATACCGGAGTCTATCCTCAATGACAATGCCGCTAACCTCAACAATGACCTCATGAGAAAAATCTACGAGAAGTTCATAATCGTCCACCGTAATTCCACGGCCTATAGACCACAAATGAATGGGGCAGTTGAGGCAACCAACAAGAATATCAAGAGAATTCCACGGAAGATAATGGAAAATCACAGAAAATGGCGCGAGAAACCATCGTTCACTTTACTGGGTTACCGGACCACCATGAAAACATCCACAGGTACAACGTCGTACATGTTGGTGTATGGCATTGAAGCTGTGATACCCGCAGAGGTCGAGATACCGTCTTTAAGGGTCATTCAAGAGGCAAAATTGGATGACGCAGAGTGGATATGGGTCAGACAAGAGCAACTCATGCTCATCGACGAGAAAAGAATGGATGCAGTATGGCATGGTCAACTATATCAGAACAGGATGGCCAGCACATTTAATAAGAGAGTAAAACCTCGACCAGTTTGCACCGTGGCAGTTGGTTTTGAAGAAAAATTTCCCCACCAAGAAGAAGCCAAAGGAAAGTTCACCGAGCACTGTCGGGTGGAGCTCTAATCTTGGCAGAAATGGATGGAAGAATAAACACGAATCCTATCATCTCAGATGCAATCAAGAGATATTATGTTTGAAGACAAATAGAGTTAGGTTTTGTTGTAACAGAACTACGTTCAACCTGACTTCCCAGGAGGGATACGTAGGTAACCCACATAGGGTTTGGTTTCTATACCTCCTTTATTTTGTAATAGAAAAACCAAATTCACTTTTGTATGTTGCTTAAGAACTATGCCAACTTGATTTCCTTAGAATGGAATACGTAGGCATTCCTCATCGGATTCAGTCGTCTTTTGTAATTGAACTACATTCTGGCCTGATTCCATTTGGAGACTTGTCCACTTTCATTCTTAAATCCATCATTTTGCATATGTTGTAATCGAACTACGGTTTGACCTGATTCCATTTGGATACGTAGACTGCCTGAGTCAGGCTCGGTCATCTTCATCATATTTTATCATAATCCACGAACTACGTTCAGACCTGATTTCATTTTGGATACGTAGGCAACTTGAAAGGGTTCAGTCATTACCTTAGGAAAGCCTTGTAATGCATTAGTTTGAATTGGGATGCAGTCGCAACAACGAGTAGTCGCATTATCAGAAGCATCACGGAAGATCGACATCAACAGGATAAAGTTTCAAGAAGAAATGTTCGCGTGTGGAGAACCTTTCGTAACATGTCATAATCCGGAACGCCGACATTTTCCTTAAAAACAAAGTATTTTCAAAATGTTTTCTAAAAATATATATATATAGTAATTTGTTCCACCTACAGAAGTTCGCGACACAATCATACCAAAGGATGGGGTAAACCAACAATGTGGTCGACACAAACTAACTTTCCCGCCCCCACTAAGAATTTTTCTTTGAGTGCAGGGTAAACAAGGAGCAAGAAAGCACTAAGACCACATTAGGCCAAATGGCGGATCCGCCACTTGCCTAAGATTTTCTCTCTTTCCCCTTTACTTGAATTTTTTTGGTACAGCTAAGACCACACTGGGCCAATTGTCGGGCCAAATGCTCCGATAGTTGCGGAACGGTACATAGCCCTTGCTAACAAATTAAGTCAAGATCAAGTATCCCATCATACCGATCCCAAATAACGCCTCGCCGGCAGCCAAGCATCATCATTCCTGCATCAATTACATCGCATCATAATATATTCCGCATTGCAATATATTGGTATGCATGTATTTCACTTGTTTTGCAGGAACAAACATTGCAGCGTGGAACTTTTCTAAGCAACGGACCAAATTACAATGCTATGAGGGACAACAAACAAATTAGCGGGCCAAGGATCCAAGTGCAAGCACAAAACAACCAGTGAAACTCAAAATTTTTAAATCCTTCAAATCAAGTCGCAAAATTCAAGCCATCACGAGTGCCCAATCCTCTGTCTCGCCGTATCATAATAATACGATACTGGGGCAATTCATGCGAGTATCGCCTCCTCAAAAATCTTTGCTCCAGAACTACATGAGTCCTGATACTCGTTAAGCCCGAGGTATGTAAGCAATTTGAAGCCAGAATTCTGCCCCAATCTCTCCAAAATTCTTCCCAAAATCCACCCAGATTCTTCCTTAACTCAATCATGCAACTCATAATGCCACTCCTACAATGCATGCCTAAAGTCGGGAGAAAATTGGCTTTGGTTCAATTTCTTTGCCCCAAAACTCTTTTATCATCTCCGGTCAAAGAGGGGCAGCTGTTGACGGCCAATTTTGACCCTCCCTTATAAAATTAATTTACTTATACTTAATAATTTACAATAAATATTTTGAAAGTATTTTCTAGTAATAAATACCTATTTTTTACAAATCAATTAAGTATTAGTTTTATAATTAATCATGTAGTATTAGTATTATGTAATTACAAATATACTTACTATTTTAAGATTATTAAAATTACTTTAATATATACATCACGTATGTCTTATAATCAATTTGACAAATTACTCCTTAAATTCTAGTTAATTAGATTACTATGATAATAATTTGGAATAAATGCAAAAATAAAGTATTTATAAATAATTAATTACAATAGTTAGCAATGTATGTAATAATTATAATTTATCATATTTTGTTGAAAATTATTAAGCTTATTTAATTTAATTATAAAAGGGATCAAAAGAGGCTAAAGGCTATAATTACAATTTTTAACTAAATACAAAGTGGCTATTATTTAAAGCAATTTCAGCCTAAATGGCCAAGCCTAGTCCGAAAATACCCAACCCAAACAACCTCTTCAATCCCTGCTGGCAATCCTTGCCATCACTTTTTAACCATTCATGATCTGCCACGTCACTCGTATCCCATACTTATAAAACGAACACAAATCATCAAGGCCGTCCATTTCTTAAATCAACGGCCCACGATTATTAACTCTATTTTCTCTTTAATTTTTAAAGCACCCAGAGATTTAATCTCAACCGTTGGATCACAAGGATCCAACGACCATTAAAATTCCCCATAAAAATCATTTAAACCCAAAATGCCAGGACCACTGATCTCAAAGATCAACGGTTCAGATCCCATCTACCTAACTTAAACCTAGAGAAACCCCCCAAATCTCTCAAACCCTAATCATTTACCCTACTTCCCCTGCCGCCTCTCTTTCCCTTTCCTCTCTCTATTCTCTCAAGTCGTCAACCCATCAATCTCCAAAACCTTGCACAAATTTGTGTAAGGTCAATCGAAATCATTCAAAATCATCCCTTCTATCCCTGCTACACCGCCGCCTGAACATTTCTAATTCCATCATTACAATTCAAAATCCTAAATCTGAAACCCTAGCTAAAGAGTGAAACTTCAAATCATTCAAATCCTCTTATGCTCCGTCAAATCGGAGCATGTATGGAGCTTCTTCAGATATTCATTATGGGAATTCTATATCTAGAGGTCAAACGCAGTGACCTCTGGGTTTTAGAATTTGTCCGTTGGTTCTTTGCCTTCTATGGTCGATTCCCTCTCAGGTAAATCTTCTCACGATTCCCCCCCTAATTTCTTCAATTTTCACTCGTTTGCTTGCATCATCTGAGCTTCATCACTTTCCACTATCATTTTGAATCTGTTGAAACCCTAGAGCCCTAAATGGAACTATAAATAAGGCCTTTAATGTTCTCACAAAACATACCAAGAACACCTAACAAAAGCAGAAAACCAATATAGTTGTGTTTTAGAACTTCTTCGGCTAAGGCTAAGGTCTTACTTGAATTTTGATTTTTCTCTAAGATACTTATTGGTTGATGTTCTTGAGTTCTTGGAGCTTAAACGGCTAAACAAACTCTTATTTGGTCTGCTACCCTAGAGAAGGTCAGTACACCTTCACCCTCTTCTCTTTTGATCGTCTTACTTGAATATCATGAGCATGCTGTTACCTTTTGTCAATTATGTTCGTTTATGATGTTTGTAATTAGTGTATAGATGTCATCTCCAATTCATGATAGTGTGTTTTTAACTTATGGTCATTTGTTATACTTTGAATCTCTCTAATCGGTGTTGATTAAGCTGTTATGTGACCTTAATGACTCTTATTTCTGAATCCAAATAGTCTACATGATTAAGTTTCCTCAATGTGCCTTAATGACTTCTCATGTTTACATAGACTTCATAGTTTTCATTTCTGTTGTGATCTCTATCCCTACACACTGTTTTCTTTTCTATTACTTTGTAGTTGAGATTATTGTTGATAATCCTAGTTAGGATAAACCTGAAAGTTCATAAGTTTATATCTTTCACCATTTAACTGAAGCATGAGAAATGTAAGTGTTTAAGTGCTCTCTTTCTCTATATCCGTGTCTGCTAACTCTCTCAGAGAGCAGCTTTCCGAGTTATTATTATGATAGTCTTAAGTTCATGTCTAATAGTTGGTTGCATATATATGAAATAGTTTTACTAATCTGAACTCTTATAAATATAAATAACCCTTCTGTTTATACTCTGTTAAGATTAAGTTATCCCTTTTTCATAAAAATAGATCATAGTTATGTTTGTTATAGTTGAATGGTAATTGTTGTTAAGCTAAACATAACTGCCGCATGTTTAGATGGAACTCTCAGTTACATGGCTGAGTTAAACCTGTTTGGTATAGCATTTTTTTTGTCTTTAATCTCTTTTATGACATTGCTGA